GTGCCCCACCCTGTGTTGCAGCTTACTGGAGCACACGGACAGAAAGCTACTCAGGGGTGCCTTCCTTGGCACAGACATTTGGAGCACAGGCAGGGCAGGCTGGAGTGTCAGAGCCTGGTGTGAGAAGCCATTTGACTCCTCACAGCGGTGCACACTCGGCAGAAGCATATGCAGCCCATTGTAAACCTTGATCATTTGTAAAGCAGTGTTTCAATCGTGTCATAAACAATAAAGCACAATTGCTATCATGCTAGGAGAATCCAATTGCCCACCATAGCCCATACCATATACTGCTGTACTTGTGTTTACGCACTCACAGTACGTGTTGTTTCACAAGTGAAGGTTCTAAGTTGTTCCAGGTCTTTGATGGTTGCGTTGTGTGAAGCTATTGGTTTTTCTCCCCCTTCAGCTTATTAGAAGAAAGAGTAACGAGGCTCCACGGTCAGTTACAACGACACCAGCAGCAATTGCTCACTTCCCCTGGCTCAGGCACTGTGGACAACAGAATGCTTGACGAGCTCTATGAAGATATTCACTGGCTTATTTTAGTTACAGGTTGGTTGGTTGGTCTTCTGTAAAATGCCATTGGCCACTGGGCAGCCTCAGGTATTAAATATACAAAGCGGTTGTTCATGCACAGATGCAATTTGGATGCAGCTGTTGTCTGTCACAGAGCGATGGGTACAGTTCTTGAAACGATGGCTCACGTGTTCAGACAGCACCTGTGGCATGCCCAACCTGGATGTGGGTCTCTGATCTCAGTGTAGCCGCCGAGGTGGTGGACTTGCGAGGTCATGTTATGATCATGACTCTCCCCGCTCGGTAAATGAAGAAGCTGAGCCTTCGAGAGTATCAGGCATTCGCCATGGTCACACTGCTATTAATGTTTGGAGCAAGAATGCAAATTTAGGCAGTCTGACTGTTTGGGTCTTTATTTTTAACCACAGTATTCTAAATGTTGCTGTACTTTAAATATAATCAGTGAAAACAACAACAAAAACCAATAACCTCAACTTTTGAAAAAGCTATTCCCGGATACAAACTTTTGGTATAGACAACAGTAGAATTCCTATTAACTTTGCAAAACTACATTGCTGATAATGACGAAAAGGCTATAGATTTAAAGCCTTTTAATGTCACTTGGGGCTGTCAGAAATGGGTGAATAAGACATTTGCCCCTTGACCTTTCCTGTAATGTGGAAGATTATTTTTCTGAGAACTAGAATGTCCTTCTCATCCGCCTGGAAACTGACCGACAATATTTATGATTTACTTTTACATCAATTTGTATGATGTATATCAATCAAGTAAAACTGAAAACCGTTATAGTGCCATTTGATATAAATGTAGATTTGTTAAGTGTTCGTTTTTAATTTTTTTTAAACTGAAGGCTACCTCTTAGCTGATGATACTCAGGGAGAGACTCCGCTAATACCTCCAGAAATAATGGAATATTCCATTAAGCATTCATCTGAAGTTGACATTAATACAACACTTCAAATGTTGGGATCTCCAGGAGAAAAGGCTTCTTCCATCCCAGGGTACAACAGAGCAGATTCTGTGATTAGGTAATATGACCTCTCTAGCTGTGCTCTTGTAATTTCTACTGTTTGATAAAGTCTGAGTTGATGGGTAGATGGCTCGAATGCCAGGCACGTTGTAAATCTGCTACATGACAGAAAAGAGAAGCGGGAGAAGCCTTGAAGCACGGAGGGAGCTCGCCAGTGCTAAGACTCTTGACGCAAGGCCACTGCAGTGAGACGGGGAGCTAGCGCTCTCCTCCACCGAGAAAACCAAGTGTCAAATGACCCCAGTGCAGGGAGACTTTGCACGGACATTCGATCTGCCGTAAGGTGGCCATCAAACCTTGTCCATCAGAAAGCAGCCCTGCTGCTGCGTAGACAAACGCCCCCTATGGCAGAAAATAGATTTGGGGTTATTTAGCAACCAGATGAACGTTACCACAAGCTGCAATTACTAGACCGCCATCCAAAGGGAAAGCTTCCCTCTTGATCTCAGCTCATAAAACAGTTCCTTTCCCACTTGTGTGCAGCTCGGCTGCGCTACCAGGAAAGTTCCAAGACAGCGGGTCCCTCACGTGAAAGCATCCTCGTCAGTTGCCCTAACAGTTCATGACAAAAATGTCATGAATGAGGAAATGAAGGAAGGGGGACCTTGGACTGAAAGTGGAATTGAAGGGCAGCACTCTAAATTTCGTGTCTGCTGTGTTGAAGGTGTGCAGGCAGAGGTGTCCCTAATGCTGGCCACCTTGTGACTGGTTTTTGCCAGTTGCGCATCCAGTGATACTAGCAGGTTCCTCCCCCTTCATTCCTCTTTCTTCATTGCAAACGATGGATGGATGGCTATCATTGAAACCTACGAAATAGAAAATCATTTTCCTCAGAAAGTTGAAATATGAAGATGCTATGGAGGGAAGACTTGGGAGTGTGTTTCCTGGGGTGCCCTCTCTTGTTTGTAATCAATAGTAACATGCCATATTGGAAAAGTTGTTCCTGCCCCTCTTAGGATTTCTGTAGGTGTTCCCTTGCGTGTCTGGAAGCTCCTGCTTTTGTTTTCATTGGGTGGCTGGTGAAAGCTCATTTCAGAGGCTGCTGTGTCAGGGTCCTGTCACATTCCTTAGCCTCTGTCTTGTTCTTTGCCAGCACAGTTCTTGCAGGAATGCTTTCCTTGGGTTGTAAGTGTGATGTCCATTGTGGACAGCGTGGGTGCAGAAGTCTGCAGGGTCTAAGGGTGCAAGTTGTGGAGGATGGACATGAGGACGGGGACACGTTCTCCTGACCTGGATCAACCAGCTTTACTCCAAAGAATTAATGTGAAATTGGCTCGTATATGGGAGGAATATTATTCCCTGTTTACTTTTTTTAAAAATGTATTTAGAAGTTATTGAAAGGAGATAATCATCTTAACCATAAAGTATGGATTACCTACTCGACCCACTTCTAGGGTTGGGATTTCTCAGTGAATAAAACCGACAGAAATCCTCTTCTGTGAGAGTTGCTTGCGGGGAGAGGGATGAATAATTCAGTGGATTATAAGAAGTAAATGATGAGAATTGTATAGTGAATTAACATAGTAAGTTAAAAAATGGTAAGTGCTGCAGGTAAAACACTGAGGAATCGAGGATGCAAGCTTTGGGAGAGTTGGATATTTTTAATGAAGGGGGCTCTTGTAAGCCTTATTTACCAAAAGTAACTTCCAGCCAAGACTTGAGCGTGGTCAGGGAGTTGGCCGTGAGGGTGCCTGCGTGAACAGCATCCCAGCAGAGGGCACAGTTAATAGTTAACACAGGGCCCTAAGAACAGTCGGCGGGTGGAGCAGAGTGAGGGGGACATTTACGGGTGACGGGTTGTGGGCAGGCTAACGGGGAGAGGGGATAAGGTCTCTAGACCTCCATGAGGGCTTTGGCTTTTGCTCTGCATGAAATGGGGCACTGGGGTTTCGAGCAGAACAGACAGAGCTCATGTGCAGAAAGGTTACTGACTGTTGGATAAAGGAGAGACCATGTATAACCTAAAAAAGATGGGAGGAGCATGAGGTTCCCCTAACCTAATAGAGGGAGAGGTGGGGGACGAAGTTCCTGGGGCAGATAGCATGTAAACTGATAAGTGAGAGAGGAAGATGAGTTTGCAGAGGGGGAGCACGGGCTGGTGGAGCAAAGGCCTGGAGCTGAGAGCAGGAGGGACTTCGACTTGGCTAGTGGGGAGGCGGCTGGTCGCAGGGGCTGGGGGGGTGCTGTAAAGATGGAGAAGCAGGGCTGGGCTAATGAGGTCGAAGTAAAAATGGCGGGAAAGTATTGAAGTAGGGCAATAACAACTAATCTCACGGTTTCAGGAAGATGCCAGGAAGACAGACTTAAATGGAAAGGATGACAAGGCAAATTGGGAAGCATTTCCAGTTGTTACTAATGGCAGGGAAGCTGGAAAGGCATTTCAGAGAACCTGATCAGATGTTGCGGGTCGGTCAATGCAGTGGGTAGGAGACAGCAAGGGACCAGTGAAGAAGAGTCTGAGTCGTGTGTGTTCTCCCCCGGTTCCTTTACCTACCCTAGATCAGCCGGCTTTGGTGTTTTCCGTCTGTCCGTCTCCCACTGTAGCGAGAAAGGTAAAAAGCCCCTACTCTTCCTGTCAAAACAACAGAGTGCCACAGGGCTGTTCCAGTAACGTGCTGTTGACAGTGCCCAGGTCACCTTCAGTCCTTTCCAGTAAATAAAGTGGAAGGTGGACGTAAGCTGTCAGGGGCTGGATTAGTAAACATTTTTGATAGGGGATCCTGGTAGTTTTTGACAGACTCATGGAAGAAGTTCAAATGACTGGGTGACAGAGCTATTTTAAATACTGACTATTTACTTACGTGAACAAGTTTTTTTCTGTCTGCTGAAATGAAAAGTTGGAACCCAATTATGTTCAACCATGGCCCTCCTAGCAATATACGATTTGCACATCGATATAAACTAACTGGACAAAAACAAACTTCATGATGAAACGTGTACCGTTTTATTATAAGCCCCTATTCTGTTTTGTTTAACTTTGTACTAATAAGAATCATAACAGTTCTGTTCAAGAGATAAACATTTAGGGTCTTAAACATCATTGAAATTTTAAAAAATAGTATCTCAATTTATATAAATATATCTATTTAAATACATTGTCTAATCAACAAAATATGTAACTTTCAGATGTATTAGTTGTTGGCAAATGGAATTGAAATAGAAGTTTAAGGAGACAGTAAACTTTCTGTTGAGTAACTTGCTTATTTTTCATTTGGATAATGAGGGTCCTCAGCAATTAAGCTACAGTGTATAAATGTGAAGGATTGATGAAACCATTTCATTTCAAATTTCCTTAAGTTGGAAATGATATCATCTAATATGTTGTAATTTTATGGGGCAAAATGGATCATGATCCACTGGAATGGAGTTGGTATTTTGGTCACATACCCTCTAAAACAACTGACAAAAGTTTGAAGACTGCCAGTATAGGGCGTGTACTCTGAGACAGACGAGGAGCCTGCGGTAGAGCCCCGTTGTCTTAAGTCCAGCCGATTTAGAGAAGGAGGAAGAAGAGGGTGCAGTAATCAAGTCTGGGCAGAAGTAAGCAAATTGATGTAGGGACATCAGGCAGGGGTGGTGCCAGAGAAGCTGAAAGGGGAGCCATTCTCTCACATCCTGGGTACGGTCGGCTGTGTAAGGACTTAAGCGACATCAGCCTGCATGTAGAGTGTGCGTAGGACAGCAGGGGAAAGTGAGAGAAGTCAAACTGGTGCTTGGAATCCTGGCCCTGGCGTGGTTGTCTATCATCTTCCATCACAACCTTTGAAACGATGCCTTTGGATTAAAGTTAAACATATACACAACATTGCTTCCGCTCACGTATGCCTCCCTAGCCCCGTGACAAATACTTTTTTAATTATCTTCAGTATTAAGTTGTGTTACTGAAACCCCACCGCCATGCGACCTGTGGAAAGGAAATGGGTTCGTGTCTTAAAATTAGCACGCGCTGATACAGGCACTCGTTCTTGCCATAGTTTTATGTTAAAATCCCACTAAGAATCGAGTGCTACCCTTCCGAGTTGTCCATAGTGATGAGTGCTCAGTGAGCCCCTTCTGTGAACTTGGGATTTGTTACAGACTTCCATGTTCAAATCGACCCACTTTAGCTAGCTAATCGGGTCACTTGTAGAGGTCAGCAGGGGGTGTTGCTGGGGTGCTTTCCTGTTGTGAGCGAGGTGTCCCTCTTTGTCTTGTCTCCTGTTTCATGAAAATTCAGAC